AGTTCCAGTCTTGTTGCCCAGGCTAGAGTGCAGTGGTGTGATCTCGGCTCACTGCAACCTCTACCTCCCAGGTCCAAGCGATTCTCCTACCGCAGCCTCCCAAGTACCGAGTAGCTGGGATTATAGGTATGCGCCACCATGCCTGGCTAATTTTGTTTTTGTTTTTGTTTTAGCAGAGATAGGGTCTCACTATGTTGGTCAGGCTGATCTCAAACTCCTGACCTCGGGTAATCCACCTGCCTCGGCCTCCCAAAGTGCTGGGATTACAGGAATCAGCCACTGCATCTGGCCAAGGGTATACATTTTTAACAAGCTCCCAGATGGGTTTTGGCATAGTTGGTCCCCTGACCACACTTTAAGAAACACTGGCTATTTCTATAAAAATAAAGGAGAGAACATTGTTCAACCCAGGATTCTCAAGGGAGAAGGAATAGTATATTCATTCAAATAGTCTGAAATGCATTCTCCAGAATAGATTCTGCCTACAGAATTTGAAGAAACATGGCCATAGCTCCCACTTCATTCATTCAGTCATTCATTCATTCAACAAGTCTTTCTTGAGCACCAACTGTGTACCAGATGCTCTTCTAAAGGCTGAGGATGTAGAGAACAAAACAGACCCAAATCCTTGACTTGAAAGAGCTTTCTTTTGAAAGAGATCGACGATCAAGAAGATCAATAAGGACGTAAGTGCACTGCACACCTTGAAGAGTAGGCAGGAAGGTGGCAAGAGGGAATATTGCAGGGAGAGAGGCTGCTGGGAGTGAATGTGACAACCTTAAGTTAAGAGGTCAGGGCCAGCCTTCCTGAGGAGGTAGCATTTGAGCGGAGCTGTGAAGGAGGTGAACGAGAGCTGTGTGGATCTCTGGGGAAGGCACGCACAGAGAACCTGAAGCCTCAGGATGCTCCAGCATGCAGGGAGCTGGGTGGTGCAGGACTGGTCAGGTGGGAGCTGTGGTCAGAGGAGCCCTGAGAACAAGCCTGAACATAGAATTTGCCACTCAGCAGATGGTTTTCAAGTGGATGGATCCATTTGGGCATCATCCACGGTATGCCAGAGAAGTAGGGAGATCCAACTCTTCCAGAAAACGCAGAAAAACAGATATACAGGGAGTACCAGGGACAGAAACCGCAAAGCTCTAAGGGAGAGGGGTTGGAAGAGTGGGGATGCAGTCGCTTTGCGTATCTGTTATCAACTGCTGTGTAACCAATTACTGCACACTGGGCAGCTTAAGAGGACAGACATGTATTACCTCACGGCTTCTGGAGGTCAGAAGTCTGGCCGAGGCTGACCTGGGTTCTCTGCTTAGGGACTCACGGGGCAGAAATCAGGTGTTGGCTGAGCTGCATTTTTTTTCTGGAACTCCAGGTTCTCTTTCAAGCTCATGTGGTTATTGATGGAAATCTGTTCCTTGCAGCTGTAAGACTGCGGCCACGTTCCCTTGATGGCCGTTTGCCAGGGGCCACTCTCAGTCCCTGGTGGCTGCCTGCAGTTCCTTGACACACGGCCCTGACCATCAGCTCGCAACCTGCCAATCTCCTAGGCAGGGCCCAGGCCCTTTTAAGGGCTCACCTGATCAGGTCAGGCCTACCTGGATACTTCTTTTTAAATAAAGAATGCAAAGTCAACAATGGAAATTTAAGCATAGGAGTGAAATCCCATCACACCACAGGTTCTGCGTGCACTCAAAGAGAGTGGAAATCTCGGGGGCTGTCTTGGGATTCTACCTACACCCTTTGGTCCAGCACAATTTCTGGTTTCTGGTACTTGAGGGGCAAGGGCTACCCTTTCTCCCTTGGGCCTCACACCATGCACCCAGCTCCAGGTGATAAATGACCACTCTTGCCTTCACCAGCTCTAGTAGATCTCAGCTAGAGAACCCTGTCCGAGACCGTGATGGGGTGGGAGTCCCAGAGGGACCTGCCCGTGGTGTGCAGGAGCCTTCTCTCCCCAGGAGCGGAGAGAGGGAAGCAGTCACATTGAAGTGCTCTCGGAGCTGCCGCTGTGCGCTACGGCGCAGATGACACATCAGTGCCCTGAATCCTGGCTGCCGCGCCAGCACGCTCAGTCTTAATGTATTGACATTGGCAGCCCTTGTATATCTTGCCATGCCAATAAGGTAATTGAAATGGAATTGTCTCCAAGCATCCAATTAATCAGCAAATAAATCATAAACCTGTGGCTGTTCATTCAGAGAGGCAAAGAGGCTCCTTCTCCTGGCTTTCTGACCACTGGAGTTGATTGAGCTTAGACTTTATGTACCTCTAATGAGCTTCAGGAGAAGACAGGTAAGTCCAGGCAAGTAACATTTAGAGCGTTACTGAGGCCCCAGGAACGGTGTGTAAGGTCCTTTAGGTATGAGAGCACATGCCTCCGCCAAAGAGGTTTATGTACTGGATTTTACTCCTTAAAAATGTCCCTGCAAAGTGGGGGTGGTGATTCACATTTTACCGAAGAGGAAACTGAGCCTCAGAGAGGTTAAGCAACTTGCTGAAGGTCACACAGCAAGTAGAGGGCAGATTATGGGTTGAAAACTAGACCCATCTTGGCCAAGTACAATGGCTTATGCCTGTAATCCCAGCATGGTGGGAGGCCAAGGCAAGAAGATGGCTAGAGGCCACGGACTCAAGACCAGCCTGAGCAATACAGCAAAACCTCATCTCTATTAAAAATAAAAATAAAAATTAGGCATGGTGGGACACACTTGTGCTCCCAGGAGTCCTGAGGAGGCTGAGGTGGGAGCACTTGAGTTTGAGGTCGCAGTAAGCGATGATTGCACCACTGCACTCCAGCATGGGCAACCGAGCGAGTCTTTGTCTCACAACAAAACACGAAGCACATCTAGCTTTAAAAGCCGTGTTCTTTTTCATCGATGCTGGGCCAGATATGCAGATTTAAGTCACAAATGGTTTCCATTGTCAAGCTAAATTTTACATCCAGGACTGTGTGAAATGAGAAGCGGTGGGAGTGGGTGTCCCCTGGCGGCTACCCATTCCCCAGCTTTATTAGGTGCTGGCGCTGGAGGTACAAGCAAGAGACGACAGTGTTCTCTCATGGATTTCCATTCCTGCAGAGGAAAATCCTCCTGTTCCTGTGATCACTTCACACCCCTAAAAGCCCTTTGATACCCAAAACTCCTTCATAAGCCCAAGTGTTTCCTCCCCTTAGCCGGGTGGGGACACTCTAAGGAACCACACGGATGAAGTAGGGTATGTCATTTTCTCACTTGAGGATGCTTCAAAGACATTTCACGTGAGGAGAAGCCATCGCAGCTCCAACTTCCCCTTCCCTTGCTATTGTTTGAAGCTCAAATTGGGGTAAAGGGTCAAACCAGCCCAGCCAAAGGAATGAGGGATTCAAAAAAGCTGAACGCTTCGAGTTTCCTCACCTAGAAACACAAAATGTTGATCTGTTTGCCCATGTGCAAACAGATACAGAGGCTGGGAGGAATTCATCCGTACCCTTCTGGAGGGTTTGCATCTGATTGGGGGGCTCTCCAAGCAGACAGGGAGTTATTTTCATGATTCAGAGCAATTCTGCAGCGGGTAGTGTCACCCCGAATCCTTTTGGCTCTGGTTTATTGGGTTGAGAATGGAAGAAAGAAGCTCCCCTCCCCTCCCTCCTCCCTTCCCCC